ATCTTCAGCTCTTACCCCCAGGCTTATCCTACAGAGCTTTGCTCTTGGTTCACTATACTTACCTTCATTTACTCTGTCAACAAACATTTATTGAACACTTATCAATATACTGTAGACAATGCTAGTAAATGGGGGAAAATTTTTAAAAATAGAAGATGTAATCTCTATCTTAAATGTTTATAAACTGTGGATACCATTAAATGTGGTAAACATTAACGGCCCCCAATAAACCATATCTCCTATTTATCATTCTATTGTGAAGCCCTTTCCAAATCAACTCTGGGGGTTATCATGTGATTTCTTTGGCCAAGGAGATATTAACAAACATGAATCAAGTAGATAAGTGCTTGCACATTGAGGCTCAACTTCTTCAAATGCTCTCTTTTTGGAATTTAGCCACCATACTGTAAGGAAGTCCAAGCTAACTTGCTGGAGAGAGCAACTCTGTGGAGAGGCCCCGGAGAATGAGACCTCACATACAGAGAGTGGCCAGTCAGCCCCATGCTTTTCTAGTCTCCTCAGCTGAGGTGTTGGATCTGTGAATGAAGTCCTCTTGGATCCTCCCATCTCAACTGAGCCTCTAGATGATTGAAGATACATGGGTAACATCAAACCAATCACCACAAGAACCACCCAGCTGATCCCTGCCCATATCCCAACCCAGTTATGAGCAAGTAGTTGTTGCAAGTTTGGAGGTTGTTTGTTGTGTGACAATAGATAATTGATAGACAAATGAGAAATAGAGCGCACACATACACACACTCCAAGAACCAATTCAGCCAAGAAACCCCACAAGGCTATAGCTGTAGATCAAATACTTGTACCAGTAATTAAAAAAAAAAAAAGAATAGAGAGAACAAGCTGGAACAAAATCATTGAGGAAGTGCTCCAGGCCCTGAATGACAGATAATATTTGAAAATGTGGAAAAGAACAACCCAAGCAGGGGACAGCCAGAGCACAGGCTCATCCCTCTCTGGACTTTGTGCCTTCAAATGGAGATTATGAGGTCTAAGAGAGTCCTTAAGGACTGACTCTAATTCCTTCAGGAATGGAGAAATGGCGAGGCATTTTCTTATGTGACTGACATACCCCCTTATTTCTCTCAGAACTACTCTACTTACTCATAAAGCCACCTCTGATTTAAAAAAAAAAAAGATTTTGTCATTTTAGACAATATCCCTAGGATCCTAATAGGGGCTTCTTTCTTATGAGAAACAGCTTGTTCCACCTTCTGTTGTATAAAGTGGCCACATGCTAAGTCTCAGGGTCCTATTTTTACCTATCTGGGCCCATCTCCTAACAAGCTTTGGTTTCATGTTACTCTACTCTTTGAAGGCTAATTGCTTCTCCACCCACTGGCTCTTTGGTAACACCTAATGGTAATACCATTAATTGAGATGCAGAGTTGAACAATTATCACATCATATTATTTGTCCACTTCTCTTCAGTTTCCCCGCCTGAGTACAAGATCCTCACAGCAAAAGATTTGTTACGTTCAACTTTGTGTCTCTAAGGCTTACATAGTGGCCAGTATATAGTAAGTGTTCAGTAAATATGTAACAAATGACTAAATTCATGAATAAATGATGAACTCAGAATACAACCTCCAGGAACCAGGCAAATTAGAAGGCACACTAGACATGAAACATCACTAACATTTATTGGCACAACTCTGTCTCAATTCAATGCTAAGAATGTCATAAAGTTCTTGCTTTTTCTCTTTTCCTAGTTAACTAGAGGAAGGTTTTAATTAGATTTGGAATGTTCAGCCCAGCATGTGGCTTTAATCCTAGCTACTTAGGAGGCTGAGGCAGGAGGATCACAAGTTTGAGGCCAGTCTGGTTAACTTAGTGAGACCCTGTCTCAGAACAAAAATTGAAAAGGGCTGGGGATATAGCTCAGTGGTAGAGTGCCCCTGAGTTCAATCCCCAGAAGCAAAAAGCAAAACAAAAATAAAAACAACAACAAAACGGATTTGAAGAGGTTACATTATTTATCTGCAGAGCTGGAATCTGGCTAAACCCTTCTCTTTCCAAGTCCACAATGTTTTGTAGCTCTCCTCCTGGACACTGGGTACTTCCCAACTGCTTCTGTTTGATGGTGCACCAAATAGGGCAGCACATAGAGGGGAGACCAAAAAGGACATCTTAAGAGAACTAGAGAATTTTTGCTTAGGCCTCAGGAAAGAACTTAACCCTGAGTTCATACTGAGAAGGATTAGGATGCAGTCAGAAGAGGCCCTCAGATCTTAGCAGACCTTTTCATTGGCACCAGGAGAGAGGCCTTAGCAAACAGCCTGTGCTGGGAACAAGGACAAGTTTTTCCCAGGCTTCTCTCTGCTTCCTTGGACTTCAGTTTCTGTTTTCCAGAAGGACCAACAGGCAGGAGAGGGCAGCCTGACCTGCCTGGTAGTAGGGTGGAGTGTTATCACTCAACTCTATTTCTCCAAAGTTTCATGATTAAGACCTGGAGCTCAGGGTGGGGCAGGGGCTTGGCACTGGGGATGAGGTAGACTGAGGGAACACTGGGCTCCTGAAGGGCAGGGTGGAGCTGGGGTGACTCAGTGTGGGGCTGCCTTTTGCAGGCAGGGGCAGATCTGAGGAACGTCTCTACCACACACCTGGGCCCGTGACTCTGCAGGGCAGTAAGGTAGTCTGTGGCTTGGTCTCTGATGTCTTTGGCACAAATCTTAACACAGCCACTTACTTCTCTCAGTGGCCCTGGCAAAATCATTTAACTTTTCAGAGTTTCTGTTTCAACTTTTATAACATGGGACTAAGAAGCTAGGTTGGGGTGACAAATAAATGAGAAATCCTGCTGAACTTCAGTTCCCCTGTATCTCCCTGTGGGGGTGAGGGGTGTTGGTACCAGGGATTGAATTGAGGGGCACTCGACCACTGAGCCACATCCCAGCCCTATTTTGTATTTTATTTAGAGACAGGGTCTCACTGAGTTGCCGAGCACCTCACTTTTGCTGGGCCTGGCTTTGAATTCACAATCCTCCTGCCTTAGCCTCCAGAGCTGCTGGGATTACAGGTGTGTGCCACCATACCGGCCCTCCCTATCTTGATTAGCCCTTCAGATTAGCCAGAGCCTTAAAGATGAGTTGTGTCAGGCAGGGCGGAATTATAATGTTCAGGGATCCCTTTTGCCCTCTTGGGCTGTATTCTTCATAAAACATTTAAAATTATATTTTATGAATGCATTGGTTAAAAAAATTAAGTATAACCCAATATGGATTTTATCATCATATACTGATTATTGTTATTATTCATTTTTCTAATCCTAAAAGAAATAAAAATTAAAATATTTTTGTGGGCCCCTAAGATATCATGAGCCCTCAGCACTATATCTCTGTGCCTAATGGTTAAATTGGCTATGGCTCAAGGCAGTGAGACACATACAGGTTCAGGTGTGTCTTCCTTCTTCCTGAATATTTGAGTCCCAGGGATGGCCAGAGACAGTGAATCCACAGACCAGGAGGCCTTTCCCCAGTAAAGTGCTCATGGGGCAGGTGTCTAGCACAAGGCTATGTCTAATTAGGCTGTATCTTTTTCTACCTATGGGTATCCCTGTAGTTGTTTTGTGCATTTGCATATCAGGATGTAGTTGTTAGGGACCGGAGTAGTGTGAGCACCTGAATTATAAAGTCCCTGGAACTTTGTTCATTCAATTTTTTTTTTAAAGTATCTCCTATATGTCAAGCACTGTTATGGGAACTGGAGATAGGGTGCAAAAACCAAAAAGACGAAGTCCCTGTCCTGCAGCTCTCCTCCTAGCAGAGGGAGGTAGACACTAAAACAATAAGTTTTGGCAGTGATAAGTGCTGAAGCAGAGTAAGGAGTCAGGGGCATGAGTGCAGTGCAGTTTGCTATTACATATGAGGTGATCAAGGAATGGCTCTTTTTTGGGGGGTGGGGGAGGGGTACCAGGGATTAAACTCAGGAGCACTTGACCACCGAGCCACATTCTCAGTCTTTGTTTGCATTTTATTTAGGGACAGGGTCTCATTGAGTTGCTTAGTGCCTCTCTTTTGCTGAGGCTGTCTTCGAATTTAGAATCCTGCAGCCTCAGCCTCCGGAGCCGTTGGGATTACAGATGTGTGCCACTGTGCCTGGCAGGAAGTGAGGGAAGGAGCCATGGGGCTATTTTGGAGAAAAGCTTCCCAGGCAGAAGGAGTAGTGAGTGCAAAGACCCCATGGCAGGAACATCCCTGATGTGTCTCAGGAACAGCAGAGGCCAGACGATACAGCAATGAGGGGAGGCAGAGTGGCAGCAGGTCATGGACCGCTTTGGAGGCTCTTATACTACAGCTTATAGCTGGACTGTGATAAAAAGTCAAGAGAGGAATTTGTTAGAGGAGTGACATGATCAAACTTGGCTCTTAGCAGATCACTTTGGCTGCTTGCCTGGCGTAGATGGGAGGGGGCGAGTGCAGAAGCAGGGAGGTTACAGTATTCAAGGGAGAGTTTTAGAGACTTGGGCCAGAGAGTTAGTGGTGGTGGAGCTGAGAAGTAGTTAAGCTGTGGGTGTGAAAGAAGAGCCAACAAGATTTCCTGGCATTTTAGATGTAGAGAACCAGAGAAAGAGAGGATTCAAGGAAGAATCCAAGGTTTTGAGCTAGACAACTAGAAAAACTGAACTGGCACTTACTGAAATAGGTTTAGGTTTAGGAAGGTCTCTAAGTTAGGTTATTAATAAGTTAACTGCATGATGCTTCGTAGACAGAAGTGTCTCAAACTGAGGTACTGCTAAAGCAGCCATTCCACCATTACTAGGCCAGCAGCTTTTGGGTCTGTGATGGACTAGTGGATGCCTTGTTCATGTGCCCACTTCCATACCTCCTTTGCTGAAAATTGAGACCTTTGGTTCAAGGCAGGATTATACTAATCTCATATCAGTGGAGCAAATGCTCTGTGAGCCCTTGGTTACCGATGTTGGCTGAGGCTCTGCTGCTAAGAAAGGGAATACTAAATATGGACCATCAACCACGAATATGTTGTTTTTAATTTAAACTTTTATTTTTGAGATAATTGTACACACACATGCAGTTGTAGGAAACATGGGTATGCGACACTTTATGATGGACTTGAGTTTAGAGAAATGATCCTCAGGCCATTTTGTTTTTTTGTGAACATCACAGAGTATACTTACACAAACCTAAAAGGCATAGCCTACTACACATCTAAGCTAATTGGTATAGACTATCATTCTGAGGCTGCAAACTGGTGAAACTACTGAACAATACAGACAATTGTAACATACTGGTAAGTACTTGTGTATCTAAACATAGAAAAGCTACAGTAAAAATACTAGGCAACAGAAATTTTTCAGGTCCTTTATAATCTTTTGGGATCACAATCATATACACAGTCTGTTGTTGACTGAAACATCATTATGCAATGCATGACTGTAATATGGAGTAATCCCCCCCCAACACCTGCCACCTTTACCCAGTTTCTTTCAACAGTAACATATCACAAAACTGTAGAACAATTTTACAATTAGGATATGAACATTGATACAATTGTCCAAATTTATGCAGATAGCCACAATTTTACTTATCCTTTGTGTATGTGTGTTTGTTCTATCCAGTTTTTCACAGGTGTGAGTTTGTATCCATCACAGTCAAAGAACAGAACAGTTTCATTCCCACAAGGATCCCTGTGTTGGTCTTTAATAACCACACTGGCCTACCCCTAGAACCACTAATATGTTCTCCATTTCTAAAATTTTGTCATTTTAAAAATGTATTATAGGTCCTGGGGTCACAGCTCAGTGGTAGGGCACTTGCCTAACATGTGTGAGGCCCTGGGTATAATCTCTAATACTGTAAAAGAAAAAAAATTATAAATGGAATCATGTAGTATACAACATTTTTGGAATTGGCTTTTTTCCACTCAGCACAATTTCCTGAAAATTCATCCAAGTTGTTGTGTTTATCAGTAGGTCATTCCTTTATATTGCTGGATATTCTATGATATTCCACTAGTTTAACCATTCATCCACTAAAGAACATCTAGGCTGTTTCTAAGTTTTTTTAAAATATATTTTTAATTGTAGATGGACACAATATCTTTATTTATTTATTTTTATGTGGTGCTGAGGATTGAACCCAGTGCCTTATATGTACTAGGCAAGTCCTCTACCAGCCCATTTCCAAGTTCTGAGTTGTTATAAATAAAACTTCTATGAACATCTGTATACAGGTTTTTGTATGAACATAAGCCTTCATTTCTCTGGAATAAATGCCCAGGAGTGCACTTGCTGGATCACATAGTAATTGAATGTGTGGTTTTTATTAAAAATTTTTCAAACTGTTTTCCAGAGTGGGTGTACCACCACTCTTACCAACAATGTCTGATTCATTCTCCCAATCTTCACCAGCATTTGATGCTGTCATTACTTTTTTATTTTAGTGTGTAATATCTCATAGCTTTACTTTGTATTTCTCTATTGGCTGATGATATTGAATATCTCTTCATGTGCTTATGTGCCATCTGTATATCCTCTTCAGTGAAATGACTTCATAGCTTTTGCCTTTTTTAAAAATTTATTTTTTTTTAAACATTGAGTTTTAAGAGTTCTGTATGTATTTTAGATATCAGTTCCTTTGTTGGATATGTGCTTTGCAAATATCTTCTCCCAGTTGTGGCTTGTCTTTTCATCCTTTCCTAGGGTTTTTCACTGACTCAATATTTTTTTTTATTTTGATGAAGTCTAATGTATCACATTTTCCATTTATGAATTATGCTTTAGTTTAAGTCTAAGAACTCTTTGCCTAACCCTATAGCCCAGAATTTTTTTTTAAGTTTTATGACTTTACATTTTACCTGCAAGTCCATGATCCATTTTAAGTTCATGGAATATGTTTTAATCTCAGACAAGGAAAACCATTAACCCTTCCAGGGTTCCCAAATGCCATCAGCTTGCCACAAAGTGGCTGATTGTCTCCTTAAAGGATGGTACTGTTTTGGGGGCTGAGTAACAGTTTCTGTTTCTGGCAGGTTTGATTTTCTACTCTTTCCCCTTCCAGGCCCCTGACCAGTATAGCCATTCACAATGGCCTATGAATCTCTGTGTATTTTTTTTCACCTCATGTGATATCTCTTTCCTCATCAATACATGACAGATGCACAAAAGCTTTGATAGGAAGATATCTTTCAGGATTGAAATGAAATGGTCTGTAATGCAGTACAAGTCCATTTGAGACTTTAATCATTCATGAACCAAGCCTGGCTTTCTCCTTCTTTTTCAGACGTTCATAAGAGACCACTCATGTGGCCAAAGGTGTGATCTGAGGGACAGGTGGCAGATGATATGGGTGTCTGGAAGCTACACTGTCTTTTCCAACCTACTCTTAAAATCAACACAGCTTCACTACTATCCAGATGGGAGAAGTAGTCATAACCCTTACCAGACTAAACTTCCATGTTTTTGTGTGTGAATGGCAAGGTCACAATGTAGAAGTATATGTAAGATTGGAGCTACTGGGCCATCTTTGGAAAATATCATCTGTCAGGGTCTCTACTCTGCTACTCAGAACTTGAATAATTCTCAGCCCTAATATGAGCTTTAAGAATTTTTTGGTTTATAGCTTCTCAGTAATTGTTTCCTGGGTAGCTGTTCTTTGATTAGCCTTGTGCAGTACCCTGTGCATGCACAGACTGGTGATCAGCCAAAGACTCAACAGTTTGCATGGAGCTTTCTCTCCATGCAGTTCCTTCCTTTTTGGCATTTTATTCAGCCAAATTCCCCCCAAATCCAGTCTCTATCTATCTCCTCAACCACTCAAACCCCTGGGTTCTGTTTGGGTTCCCCCTTTGGTTCAACAATCTGAAAAATGACTCCACAACTGTGAGCTTGCCTCATTTGTTTCCCTCCCTCAGGGATCACAGGTCTGTACTATCCCTGGCCAGTCTGGAAATCATTGTTTTGTATCTCTGATCCATTTTTTCAGTTGTTTATAATGACATGGTAAGTCCTGCATCAGTTAGTTACTCCTCTTTGGTAGAAGCAAAGCCTGAATACAATTTGGAGATAAAGCCAAAATGTTTTGATTATGAGTTGGTTGCACATTGTAAGACAGAAAGATGTGTTAGGGATGACCAAGTCTTTGGCTGAAACTGGGAGGGTGGCATTGCAGTAAGCGGAGGTTGGATCAGATTTTTAACTGGGGGGAGGGTTAAAATTAGGAGTTTAGTTTTAAACATGTTAAATTTGAGATGTCTGTGAAACAATCAAGAGGGAATGTCAACTTTTCTGTTGAATAAACAAATTAGGAGTTCAGTTAGAAGTCAGGCTAGACAAATAAAATCAGGAATTTCAAGTCTGAGTATGGTACCCAAAGTTGAGAGTCTGGATAAGATCATCAAAGACATAAGGGTAGGTAGAAAAGAGAAGACCAAGGACCAATATCTGGGGTATTGCAATATTAAGTATTTGGGGAGATGAAGAAGAACCCTTGAGTTGTTTGTGTCAACTCCCTCACTTAATCTCTTATTCCCAAGATTCTACCCCATACTACCTGCTCAATGAGCCATCACTGGCCATTTTTCTGGCACTGACTTCTGCTGACCTGTTTTTTTTCCTGCGGCCACCTACGTCAGGCCTGACAGATCAGTCCCAGAACTTGAAAACTTCTTTAGACAATCCAAATCCTCAGGATCTTCTGAAGTCATTTAAGTTTCATCTGGCTCTGTCAGGACTGATTCTTCTGCCAAAATATAGGGTAGGAATAAGGCAATGGCCTCTGACTTCCAGAGTGAGCAATACCTTGGCCAGAACCCTTTACTAGTCTTTGATGATACCTTTCATGTTGAGGGCTCTGAAAAAGAGGAAATATCAGATTTACCACCCTAGACCAAATGAGTGAACTTTTTTCTTTTTGGCCTCAGATTCTGTCCTGGATAATGTTGCTACATGGATAGATGTATCCATGTTATTGACTTCAAAAAATTAAATACACATTCCAAACATCCCGAGTTTTCTTATAGTAATTAATTATTGACCTAATACTAGTAATAAATGTTGGCATAATTCATCCAATCACACACCAAAAGGCCTATATAAGGTTATTCTTCATAGTGCTATTTATAAAATTAAAAATATTAGAAATTAGAAACTACCTACACAACTAACAATAAAGGACTGAGTAAATAAGATATAGTACATCTATAACATGCACCCATTGAAATAATTTTGCAAGTACAGGGAGATGTTTATGATATATAGTTGATTTACTTTTTTTTTTTTTACTTAACATTTTAACCAGCCATTCAGTGTGGTATGAAAGAGTACTTTAGCACAAGTGAATTTGAGAACTCCAGGCCGTGATCTCCAGTGATTAATGACTAGGTGGAGAAAGATGAGCCTGCAAAGGAGGCTGAGCAAGAGTGGGCAAAGATATAGAATTGAACAAAAATGGTACTATATCATGAGACAGGGAAGATTTATTTTTTCCTTTTTAAAGAAAAAGAACGATCATTCAATCATTTGACAGTCTCAATGCTGAAGAGCTAAGATGAAGACTTGTTATGTTTTGAATATCCACCAATAAGCTCATGTGATAGAAAATGCAGGAATGTTCAGAGGTTAAATGATTACATTATGAGAGAACTGTAACTGAATAGGTTTTTAAATATTAATCTACCATCCATTTGGTAGATCAAAAGTTTGAATGGATTACTGGGTGGTAAATGTAGGCAGGTAGGGGTGGCTAGAGGAAGTAGATCATTACGGGCATGCCCTTGGGGATTATTTGCCCTCTCTCCCTCCCTTTCTCTCTCTCTGTTTCTTGGCTGCCATAAATTTACAGCTTCCCCTTACCACACCCTTCTGACATGATCTTCTGCCTCATTTTGGGCCCAGAGCAATGAAGTCAGCCAACCATGGACTGAACCTCTGAAACTGTGAGCCCCAAATAAATTTTTCCTCCTCTAAGTTGTTCTTGTCAGATATTTTGGCCAGAGTGATGGAAAGTTGAATAACACAGGACCAAAAGGTGACTCCTGTATGAAGCAACACTAATGTCACTGATGACCATTGCAAGAGCTGTTTCAGTAGAGCAGTGAGAACTGAGGTTCGATGTAGTGGGTTGAGGAGTCAGTGGGAGGTCAGAGAGTAAAACTAGGGAGAAAAAAATGTTTTTGAGAATTAGAGTATGTAGAGGAAGAAATAGGTGATAGAGAAGGATGTATGTTCAGGACACTTTTTTAAAAAATTAGAATAGGGGTGGGCTTCTTTAAACATAAGATGTACCACTAGAGAAGGAGCAAATTTAGAGAGAGATAATTTAGAGTTTATGAAACTTAGTTTGTAAAAAGGTGGTAAAGAAAAGGATCTAGAACACAAGTCATAGCATTGGTCTTGGTTATATAGTAGGAAACGAAATGCTTGAATTGTAACAGCAAGAAGGAAGAATGAGAATGTAGGGAGGTTTAAGCACTTGGAAACACAAAGGAAGAACTCAAAGACCTTTGTGGAGAGTAAGTCGGGAGGCAGGAGGACCAGAGGCCTCAGGAGCATGGAGAAGGGTTGAGATGGTTGTTGTTGATAGTAGGAGTGTAAGCCACAAGAGAAATGTAGTACAATTTTCAAGTACCTTTTGGTCCCATGTGGAGTTGGTGACCCTGAATTATGGCAGAATACATCTGACTGGTAGGGTGATTATCTGAGTGCAGACAAGAAGGAAGCAGACAGTTTGATCCTGGGGGTGGGGGTTAGCCAGACAGGAGAGATGAAAATATCTCCTTACTGCTTGGAGGCCTGGGGAGTTGGGCCTGGGCCAGCTGCTCAGCTTTTCTATAAGTCTAGCCAGAAGGCAACAGGAAGAGAGGGTGGCTCTTTTGTTCCCACTAAGTAAGTTTCCCTGAAGCTTCACCTTCCAAACCCCCTGTCCCTAAGACAGCTGGCTCTTTGGTAGCCTGGCAAATTCCCCATGTAGACAGAGCTCAGTCTCCTTGTACTATTTGCTATTTCTGCAGGCTTGTCAGGAACAATCTTTTCCAGTCTTTAGAAAGGTCTTTTTATATGTGCTCCATCTTGATCCATACTGTGCTTGGGAGTACATGAGAAGGACAGGGGTTGGTCCCCCAAGGCAGGTCACTGTTAAGGTCTAGTAAGGACAAAACAGCCTTCTTTGGTGCTTCCAGCTCACTTGATACTCCAATGCCAACACTGCTCATAAGAGGCCACAGGGCTTCTCTTTCCTCTGGCCCTTGGCTTCTGTGGGAAGCAAAACAGAATGGAGACACTCATTTTTCTCAGCTCTGGGCTCTTTACCCAAGAAGGAAAAACAGGGCAGCCAAGTTATAATTTTTCAGTATGTAACATCCTAACCTGGTTGCTGGGCCAGAGTTGGCACTGGAAAGGGAAGGGCTGGAAGAGGAGGATGGAATAAGTGGTAGAATCAGATTCTAGCTCAGGCACTGGCCTTAGTTATAGCTTCTGCTGCTTGGGTGGACGGAGAATAGAGGCCAAGAACAGGGGTGAGCTGCTGGTGATTCTGCTAAATAATGGGAATTGTTCCCAAAGCAAGCCAGTCACCTAACTCCCATCCTGATACATACAGCCCAACGAGGAGAGGCCAACCTGTGCATTCTGTGTGCCCCTACTATTTCTGGCCAGGGAGAACCATTTAAATGAAAAGCCACTGTCTAACTGAAAAGGATTGGCCACTTGCCATCTCAGGGCCTGTTACTTCACCTACAACTTAAAAGCTGACCAGGATGATTTCTAAGGCTCTTTTGACCCTATTTATCTATGATTAGCCTGAAATGATATCAGATTTTAATTGCTTCATGGTCATTAGATCCTAAAGGTCTTAACATATGGATGATAAGTACAGTCCCAGCACTGGTCCCAGGGTTATGGAGGAAGAGCATAATTTGAGAGGGCTTTGCTTTAAAGAAAAAGTTGAGTCCTGATGACTCTTGACTCTACTTTGTGGGCTTGTCTCCTCAACTGCAAAATGAGACTCTGAAGGCTAGAAGTGCTTTAAGATCCAATTCTGGTTCTATGTGCTGAATGTCTCTGTTCTCCAGCAATTTTGAGCCCCATTGTATAAATTTACTGAGCTGTCAATTGTTCACAGTGCTCGAGTAGGACATTGTCCTTGTTCTCAAGGAGCTTACAATGTATTTTTTAAAAAAAATAAGTCATGTGCATAGGAAAAGATAACTAGCATACAATTCATACATGATTACACGAATAATACAGACACCATAACTCAGGATGGCTCTCTTTGACATGTTGCTGGCTGGAGGAAAACATGCATGGGCCATGTCTAGAACTTTCCTCACCCATGGCCTCTTACTTCGTCAGCTCTCAGAAGGGGCATGGTGAGGAGTCAGACACTCTGGGTTCACTTTTGGGTTCACCACTGACCTTTAAAATGGGGATAATAAAAAACTCCCTTGCAGCACTGTTGTAAAAAGATATTCTCCATCCAAAGCATTTAGCAAATACCTAACACATGGTTAGTGTTCTATAATGATCCCTTTCCCACTCCAACCCCTAAAGAAGTCCAGCTGTGGGAATGTGACAATGGAAGGCTCCAGTAAAGTTGGCTTGATTTAACTTGACCCTGGTTCAGTGCAAGACCATCCAGTTGGAAGTCTAAGGCCATGTCTAGGTGGAACCCACAGTCACAGAGGTATAAGGAAAGGAACATTGTCTTCCTGTTTTAAAGATGATCCCTGCTGTTTCCATAAAAGATCCAGGTGTAGATGGTGGAGTTTGGTCAGGATGAAAGAAGATCTATACACCAATCAAAAAATGTTGAGGATTAAAGATGAGAAGGAGCCAGAGAATAGGACCAGAACAGGACCTGGAGCTTGCCCAGGGTACATAAGAGTTAATTCTATCTGCAGTTAGTGTGGAATCTTGCTTCCTTTGTTGAATCTAGTTGTTTAGTTTTAGTAATTACCCAAACTTCTAGAGTTGTTAAAAGTTCAGAGTCACAAGTTCACCCAAGATGAGTTTGGAATTGAACTGATCATAGATGATATAGACCTTAAAATTGTCTTCCTTTAACTCAGTTTATGACATGAAGAGACCTTGAAGCCATGACTGAGTCCTGAGTGTGGACAGCAACTGAATTGATCTCTGTAAGGAGATACATATACAGTGCCATAAAAGAGGATGCTGGCACCAATTTTGTGCCTGTGCTTGTTAATAATGGTTAAGAGAAGCTCAGGCCTTATGGCAAACAGCACTTGGAACAGTGTCTGGCACTCAGTGGACATCAAACGTTTTTGATAAATGAATAAATGTGTGATATACACTCACATAATTCAGATTCGTTTCTTTAAAAATGGGGATATTATAATCACATGCCTTCCTCCATGTATATAGTTGATATTCCTGATTCACTATTAAAGGCCATTCACCGGGCTTGGAATATACCTCAGTTGGTAGAGTACTTGCATAAGGCCCTGGGTTCAATCCCCAGCACCACCAAAAACAAACAAACAAAAAAAAGACTATTCTCCTTTGCTGGGAGGCTGAGATGGGAGGATCATGAGTTCAAAGCCAGCCTCAATAAAAGCGAGGTGCTAAGCAACTCAGTGAGACCCTGTCTCTAAATATAAAATAGGGCTGGGGATGTGTCTCAGTGGTTGAGGGTTCCTGAGTTCAATTCTTGGTTATCTCCCCCCCTCGCTCCCCACAAAAAGGCCATTCACCTTTGTATTATGTGGTGTGATCTGGGCTCTATGCCTGGCCCCATATGACCTCAAATAAATGACCAATACTCTTTCTCGCTCTGTTTAATCTGAAAAGGAGGTTGAATTGGGCACATGGTAAACCTCTTTTCAGATCTGAACT